CGAACCCAGGGCCTCAGGCATGCAAGGCAAGCGCTCTACCACTGAGCCACCTTCCCAGCCCCATTCTGCAGTTCTTTCTTTACCCACAGGGAAACAACTGGCCTGAGTGCTTGGCAACTCATTTGAGGACATAAGTAAATCTCTTACCTTGGCTCCTCTCACTAGGGCACAAATCAATCATATATCACATCTTCCTGGTCGCCACAGAGCACCTGCACTTGCAACCCCTGCTAAATCCCCAACCTGTGTCTGGGCACATCACACAACTGCTGGCACCACCAACCTGTGCCTGCTGGCCTCTCCACCCTCAGGATCACTTATTACAAAACATTCTGAAACCATGACAGCTGATGAAGGGCTGTACATGGATCATGCCCTTTTGCTTTCTGATGCTTTGATGTGTGCGCCTTCTAGATTCTGGTGAACTTTTCCTCCCAGGGTAACTAAGTCCTAGAATAGCCAATGGTTCAACTGTGAGTAAGTGCTTTGCAGGCAAACCAACCTAGAGCCTATCCCCCAACTACTCCTACAAAGGCTCTCATGTGTTGAGACCAACACACCTGTCCTGATCACCCCAGGGCCAGGTATCAAACAACTTAGAATAGTTCTATGCCCCAGCACCAACTGAAATGATCTATACTAGCTAACCCCCAGCCTCTCCATCCTGCCTCACTATACTTTCTAGGGGAAACTACAGCAAAGACTTCTCTGCTTTCTGACCACCTGTGTGGGAAAATGTTCTGAACAAGTCAGAATAGCCAAGGCAAAAGCTGGCTTCTGAAGAGGCAGGTCTGAGCAGCTTGAGCTTGGTGGATGAGAGGGACGAGTTTAAGGCACCGTTGGGTGGCAGGCACAGGAGTTTTTAGGTAGTTTTTGGGTAGTATCTTTTCAATACTGTGGTCTCCTAATCTCTTGGCTTACTACACCTGCAGAGTCATAAAACTTACACATAGACCAGACAGTGGCTTCCGGCAAGACCCTAAGCAATTCTCAGTGGCTCCTCCATGGGTTTCAACATGGAAACTCCCCTTTCTACAGCTCTCCCCGGCCTGCTTACCTTGTTTGTCCTGTTGTTCTCTAAATAATGGCAGGGCAGGGTGTTGGGCTCTACTACTCCTGATCTCTACGGGTCACAGAACCTCAGCCCCAGCCACTCCTTCATGTGCCATGTGGGGAACATCATCAGCAAGTCTCACTGAGGTCACTTGCAAAGCAAGATTTTAAGGACCTCTATAGATGGCCCTGCCCATCCCCTTTTGCAGGCACTGTCTCATGTCATATAGACAAGCACGAGGCACAGCACAGCCTTCCCCTGCCTCTGTCCACTCTCCAAGGACAGACCAATGCTCTCAGCACAAGCCACAGCACATCCTTCCCACCTTGACCAGGAGTCACTCTACGCACCTATGCAGAACCTGATGGTGGGCACCTTGGGAAGCTGGGTTTTCTGTTCATGTTCATGCATGTGTTTATGCTTTACAATTACTGCAAGTACCAATCGAGCTGCTGGGCACCTAGGTTGCTTGTTGGCCTATGAAAGGACACCGCTGACTGCAGGTAGTGGGGAGACAGGTGGTGATTACAGAGATAAGGACAAAGGACAGACACTGCCTCTGCAAGTCTTTGAAAGCCAGGATTATGGGGCAGACCATCAAGGGTGGTCAGCAAGGATGAAGTTGTTGCCCCTATTATACCTGAATTTCTCTATTAAGATGATATAAATAGCACTAGTGGCATTAGTTAATAGTTATAAGAATGTATATGCCTGATGTGCTGTATATTTTATAGAATATATACCAAGTACTTTGTATCATAGTAATATACATATAAAATACAATTGTTATGTTGATCATAATTCCTGACATGTGGTACTAAGTATGGGCATTGTTTTCATTGCTTATCATGTATGAATTCCTTGACTTCTCCCGACCAAAGTACTGACCAATTCTGAGGCTCAGAGAGATTAAGGAACCTGTAAGAAGTTGCATAGCTATAAGGTGGCAGAGCTCCAGGTGCTGTGTCTGAGCTTGGCCCATGGTGCACCCCTCAGTTAGGATTCACTTTATTTTTCTTTGTGAAACTGTGTTTTAAATTCAGGGTGTAATACTTGTAGGCCCACTGGCCTCTACCACTTAAGCCATGCCTCCAGACTTTTTGCTCCTAGTTTGTTTTTCAAATAGGATTTCCTCCACACCTCCTGTCCCACTAACTTTGGGCTGTAATCTTCCTATCTCTGTCTCCCTAGCAGTTGGGGTTATAGGTATGCAATGCCATGTGTCCCTGAGCTCCTTTTTGGGGGAGAAGAGGGGAGAGTGGGGGACTTAGCACTCTACCACTTGAGTCACGGGTCCATTTCTGGCTTTGTCTGTGATTAATTGGATTTAAGAGTTTCATGGACTTCCTTGCCCAGGCCTGCTTTGAACTGTGATCCTCAGATCTCAACCTTTTGAGTAGCTAGGATTATTAGCGGGAGCCATTGGCAGTGTATCTCACTTTCTATAGAGACGAGGAAACAGGGATTCGAAAGTGTGCAGTAGATTTCTGGAGCTGCACAGTCAAACTGCAGCACAGAGCTCTGAGCATATGGCAAGTCACATCCGTGACCAGATAGAACAGGCACATCCTCACCTGTCAAAGTCCCTCAGATGATATAATTTTAGTCTTAAATGAGTGTGTTTTGAGGAATTTTGCTTAGCTCTTCAATCTCATCTTGTCATTAAACCTTAATATAGTCCTAAGACTTACAGGGAGAAAAAATGGTAAGGAAAACTCCCAGCCCTTTTCCCTCACAGACCAGCCTGCGAAAATGGAGCTGCTCTGGGAGATCCTTCTCAGCCTCACTTTCAGGTATCCTCTTTCCTGGGGCAGGTAGGAGCAGCATCTGGGAAACAAATTTAGCCCTTCTGCAATTCCTGGGGCTTGTGTTTCTACCAGGCTGTATTCTCCATCACCTTGTCCTGCTGACAGCACTGAGGGTGGCAGCTAGCTATCAGAGTGGTAGGTGGGAGGATCTACAGGACCAGGGTAAGTGATGGGAGCCAGAAAGTCGGACAAGGATACAGGCTGTAGGTCTAGGCTGTGAGGATCCAGAGGGGAGGGCAGGTCTGCCCTCTGCACAATGAGGATGAGCCCTTTGCCACTGCTAAGGCCCCAACACTCAGTGCCTGGCACGGGGGGGGGGGAAACAAGAGAAAGTTTGTTAGAGAAATCAAGGTCCCAGAATCCCAAACAAGCAAAAGCCCAGCCACAAACACTGGCAGGAGAAGAGCACAGGAGGGACCTCTGTAGAAAACAAAAGGAAGCATGAGAGCGACTCCATCCTGCTCCTGACAGCACCTCCTTTGCGAATGAGAGACACATGGGTGCCCTGAAGCAGGCGTGGCAGAAGAGCAGTTTTGGCCGCTGTGCTAGTGGAGACACTGCTTCAGTGGATGGCCCTTCTTTCATGCTATTGAGCCCCAGGCTCTCCTGACCTGAAGCACAGTGAGATCCATTTTGATTGTAGTCAAGGGCACTGCTCAGGATAGATCACTGGAAGTACACTATGAAGTTAAAGGCTAGGGCCAACCACCCTCCCTGCACCTAAGGACAGGAAACCCTGTTGGTGACACTGAACATTTAAAGCAGAGACACCAGGGACTGAGTGCCAGAAACTCCATTTTCATCAGTGACTAATCAGCAACCCAGGGTGACTCATGCCATCTGCGCCACCGTGCACGGCATGGTGGCAGAGGTGAGGGTGTCAGCATCAGAGGGGGCTGAGAGGGAAGGGGAAGAAAGGCAGAAGCTAATTATCGAAAGGCTAAAACTATCTCTTTGTTTTCCTCTCTATCCATGGAGTAGTGGTTTCCTCTTGGGGGAGTTTATGAAAATCCAGTTGCTAGGTCACACATCCAGACAGCATATTCAGCTGGACTTTCCCTCCCCCCCTTAAAAAAGCCTACAACTTAAAAGCTTGCTACATATGGCTTGAAAACTCATACTGGACTGATTTGGAGCAGGGATGGAGCTTTTACTATAAAGGACAAGTAATAAGTATTTTCAATTTGGTGGGCCATGCTGCCTCTCTTGAAAGCAGACATATGTATGCAATGCTTTGTAAACATGTTACGTGTGGCTGTGTTTCAATAAAACTCTATTTACAAAAACTAATGGCAGGCTAAACTTGGCCTAAGGCTGAAGTTTGTCTACCCTTTACATAGAAGGGACAAGGAACTCTTCTAAATTACTTGTTTTGGTGCCAGTCCTGGGGCTTGAACTTAAGGCCTGGGTACTGTCCCTAAGCTTTTTTTGCTCATGGTAGTTCTGTACACTTGAGCCACAGCTCCACTTTTTTTGGGGGGGGGGCCTGAACTCTGGGCCTGGGCACTGTCCTTCAGCTCTTCAGCTCAAGGCTAGCGCTCTACCACTTGAACCACAGCGCCACTTCTGGCTTTTTTCTCTTTGCTTATGTGGTGCTGAGGAATCGAACCCAGGGCCTCATGCATGCAAGGCAAGCACTCTACCACTGAGCCACCTTCCCAGCCCCACAGCTCCACTTTTTGTATGTGCGTGTGTATGTGTGATTAGAGATAGGAGTCTTGTAATCCTCAGATCTCAGTTTCCTCAGTAGCTAGGATTATAGGCATGAACTACTGTCCCCTGGCTAAATTATTCTTTCAACACTTCCATATTTCCCTTTCCCAACATAAGATTCTCTCATCACCTTGCAAATTCATTCATAAAAATTCATGTCAGAATAATCCTGTGGAGTGGGCACCATCTAGAAGGTGTGAAAGTGCTCTGGCACACAGTGGATCAATCAACAATTCTGCTGACTTTGGTGTATGTTTGAACAACATCAATAGTTAAAAATAAAAAAGAGAAAGGTTGGGGAGGGAGAAAGATCTTTTTAGGAAAAAAAAAACACAAGATGAAAGTAGTGTAACTCTCAGGGACTGTTGAGCCTGTGCCCTGTATGTGCAATCGTGTGAAAGACAGTACATGTGGAGGATACTCACGACCAGTACAGCAGCATGAGCAGGAAGGGGCAGATGATCAGGGCCTGCAGCACTTGCCAGTCCCGGCACAGGGCAGCCAGCCCGGGCATGAGGAATTGGCCTGCCATAGCCACGAAGCTTGCCACCATTGTGATCATGAACCGTTTTCCAGGTGGGCACAGCTCTATCCCTGGAATACAAAAACCAACAAGAGGCATGAGGCTCTCGTCCAATGGATGAGAGAACCAATGAAAATGACATATGAGTGAACTGTGGTCTGCTGGGAAGGAAGCTAAATCACTGTCCGAGGTCACATAATGAATTGCTGCTTAGCTCAGAACCTAGGAAACTCAGCTGCTGTGGGAACAGAATTTCTGAATCCCTTATTGTCCTTCCCCTCACCTTGGGTGCCACCCCAGGTGGGTTTCCTTGTCTGTTCATGCTGCTGCCATTCCTTTCTGTCTATGGTCTTGCAGTGGGGACCCTCAGCTGTTGTACAGGACTCTAGGAACATCCATCTATTCAACTCCCCACCTGAACTGCATTCCAGCTCCTGGTCCTGAACCCAAGGGATCCATGAGAACTCTGAGTACCAGGCCACCTGGAACTTTTTCACTCAGAGCTTTTTCTCCCATTGTCAGATCAAGACAAATATAGTCAAACCAATCTCATAGCTAATCTATTAAACAAAACAAAAGCAAACCGTGGAGTAATAACCTAACACAAATCATACAGTAATGACCTAACAGGAATGCTCCTTTGCCCTGTTGGAATCCTAATTGCTGCCTACTGTAGTGGGTGGGCAAGGCATCATATCTGATTATTTGCATAGCTCCAAAAGGATAACAGTGTCTGTCTTTAACAAATGCCCAGTAAATCGGAGAAGATAAGATGCTGATCCTTCTTGGGTCTGTAAGAATCCATTCTCCTAATCTGACTTGAGTAAAAAGCTGGTACCAAAACTTTAGTCTGTAGACATACTATATAATTCCCTATAACAACAATCCTTAATACTAGAAAAAGTACCTGGGTTAAATATGTATCTATATATTTATTTACTTATATAAATATATTATAAATATGTATTTCCCTATATAGCATACACATTTGTTTGCTAGTCATCTTTTCTACTTTGCAGCATTTGCTGAAGATAGCTTGCTGGCTTATTTTTTAAAAAATTGTAGTCAAAAAGATTTTTTAAAAAGCAGGAAGGAGAAGAATACCCCTCAAGAAGAAAATATACTATCTTGCTGTTGTGTCTGGACACTGTTCATAGGGTAGTGTAACTTACAGGTTGTCAAAATAGCTTATCTGCTGGTTGTTCAGAGATCGTGGCAGAGGTAGGAGGCCCAATGGCTAAAGGGAGTAAGATAGACAGATGAGAGGGAGGAAGGGTAAATTCTACTTGGCTATATTCCTGACAAAGATAGGCTACAATTCTAGCCATTACCTACACTAGCTCATTCTGAGGTAGGGTGAGTGATATTGTCACTGGAATTCTTGTTTCTGCTCAGCCACTGTCTTCAACATAGCTATTGATGAAAGGGTACCAAGGGTAAGGGTCTTCCTATATACAGCTCATAAAGACCTCCTTGCTGTTTAATTAGGAAAACAGGATTAAGCAGCCCATTCTTGGCCATTTGCTGCAAGGCTGTTCCTTTTGGCATTATAGATCAAGGTCACTTAAAAGATGACTTCCTAGCAGGGACCAGATATAGCATTTCTGTTCCACTCAAAATTAAAAAAAAAAGTCTTTTCAGAGCAGACTAACAGTTGTAGGCTCTAGTTTTCACTGATTAAGTAGCAAATTTGTTGCTATGGAAACCAGAAATCTGCCTTAGCCACAATACCTTTAGCATCTGAAGATGTGGCACAAGCTACTTTCAGATAAGAAAATTTAACACCTGGCTACCTATGTGACCTTTAAACAAAGGCAGAGAATGACAAAGCAGGATGATGGCTTCATATCAGTGGGCTTGCTAGTATGACCGACATCACACATTGTTCCTGGAGCTTTTCTCTTCACTACTCTAATTTAGTGACACATAATAGGAAAACATCTGTAACTACACAAGTCCTGCCCTATCTGTGGTTTTGTTTTGCAGTGTTTCAGTTACCTGCAGTCAACTGTGATCTGAAAAATATTAAATAGAAAATTTCAGAAATAAACAAGCTGCAAGTTTAAGATGGCATACCATTCTGAGCAATGGGATAAAGTGCTATCCTACTGGGTGGGAAGAGAATTGTCCCTTTGTCCAGTGTATCCACACGGTATTTGGACACTCACCCTTTAGTCAGAATGTTTGTCATGGAACCACAGTGCCTGTGTTGAAGTAGCCCTTATTTTACTTAATAATGGTCACAAAAGGCAAGAATAGTCACCCTGGCAATTCAGACATGATAAACAGAAGCAGAAAGAGCTTTCTTTCTTTTTTTCTTTTTTTGGTCTGGTCGTGGGGCTTGAACTCTGGGCCTGGGCGCTGTCCCTCAGCTCTTCAGCTCAAGGCGAGCGCTCTACCACTTGAGCCACAGCGCCACTTCCGGCTTTTTACTTTTTGCTTATGTGGTGCTGAGGAATCGAACCCAGGGCCTCAGGCATACAAGGCAAGCGCTCTACCACTGAGCCACCTTCCCAGCCCAAGTAAGAGCTTTCTTAAAGTGAAAAGTTTAAAAATTTCTCAACTTAAGAAGGAAAGGGAAAAAAAAAAAACCCTCATATGCTGAGGTTGGTAAGATCTACAGTAAGACAGATACATATTATGGAAAGGATGTACTACTCTCTGAGGCGTCAGGTATCCACTAGAGATCTTGGGCCCCTTATTCATCCATGAATAAAGCGTCAGGAGCCCCATGTGATTCTTTCAACACATGTTCCTGCTGGGATGCCTAACCCTGGACACTAATCTACACTTATGTGACAACATGCAAAGTGTCACAAAGTATTTCCAACACCAAGGTTAACATGTGCTGATGATGGAGGAGAACAGTCCTGGAGGACAAGTGATCCTGCAGTCTCCTCTGGCTGGAAATGAGTTGCTATGGTTAATTAGTCTATCTGTGTGACTATCAGTGTACAAATGGTTAAGCAGTCACAGCTTTTCTCCCTAGGGGCTTCTCTTACCTCTCCTGGAAGTGGCTGAGTGGCCCCTGAACTTCTTGCTACTTCGAGTGGGGTGTAAGAACTTGCAGTGTCAGCACTGCAGGGAGCTTGGGCTCTAGGCAGACCTACAGAATCAGCAACCGCATTTTAACAATCTCCCTTCACCACCTGGTGAGGCCTGGCTCTGTGTGCTGCCAGGGAGGTGGGCAGTCTGTCTCTTGGACATAGCTTCCTAAGCTGAAATTTTAGAACCACCTTCCTCCAACTTCTCCATCCTCCTATTGTCAGGAATCCCAGAAAAGGGCACAATATGCCAGCAGATATTGTTATTCTAGCACATTCTAGTTAAGACACAGTGGCTTAACTAGAGACACAGATGTGACTGCTTTCAGATGATTACCATTTGTGCCCTGACTACCCAAAAATTCTTTCCACTGCTTGACTCTAACTACCTTATGATGGCAGTTATTAAAAAAACAGTTAAAAAAGTCATCATCAAGGAACTGTATGCCCTCTAGGCTTGTTATTAATCATAAGTCATAAGTTCCTTTCTGAGAGAGGAGAGAAAGAATCCACTAGAATATTATTAAGTCTTTAAGTGTTGGAGTTTGCCAGGAGGGAGGGAGGACTGTGCAGGGACATTTTTTTGCCCCTTGTGGCTTGCTCTCAGCCAAGGTAGAGGATTCTCACTCCTTGGAGGGGGGTTTTAGCCACCTGCCCAGTGCTACTGGTCTGGTCTTGAAAGACAGGAATAGTGTCTAATGCTTTCTCAGAGCCTGGGTATTTCAGAGCCTTTGGGTGATCACTGTACCCAGGTAAGGCCCTGGCTGGATCTTTTTTTTTTTTTTGGTCAGTCGTGGGGCTTGAACTCTGGGGCCTGGGTGCTGTCCCTCAGTTCCTTAGCTCAAGACTAGCGCTCTACCACTTGAGCCATAGCACCACTTCCAGTTTTCTGAGTGGTTTATTGGAGATAAGAGTCTCATGGACTTTCCTGCCTGGGCTGGCTCTGAACCATGATCCTCAGATCACAGCCTCCTGAGTAGCTAGGACTACAGGAGTGAGCCACTGGTGCCAGGCCACCTGGCCCTGGTTGGGTCTTGATGCTTCTAACTGCCAACTTCTCTGCCAGTGAAGGTAACTCCAAATTGTCTTAGAACAGACAATGAAGAGTTACAAAAAACAGTCTTTTCACATTCAAGCATAGTTGGCCCTGCTCTAGGCAAAGGTCTCTAGGACCAGAGGCCCTGGGTTCTAATCTAGTACTTGGTACTTATGACCTTGGATCAGTCCCTTAAGCGCTCTGTACCTTAATCTTGTCATCTTCCAGATGGAATGTTGGGTGTTAAACAGCATAGTGCATCATAGCATATATAACAATGTGATTACTACTAGTCTTATGTGAACCAATGAGATGAGACCTATGTGCTTTCTATGTTGCTCATCTATCCAGTGACTTTGAGAGTAAGCCTGAGGTCTACTCTGAAAGCCTCTGCACTGAGGCCTGAGGTCTGTGAAGAGAAACAGTCTATACTTGTTCTTCTTTATATATTTTAGTTCCTGGAAATTCCCCCAGGCATAGAAGCAATCAATCATCAATTGAAAGATACAACTAAATCAAGCACTGGTGGCTCCTAGTTACTTGGGAGGCTGGAAATGGGAGGGTCATGGTTCTAAGTCAGGCAGAAAAGTTGGCAAGACCCCTTTCTTAGTGGTACACATCTCTTTAACTAAGCTACATGACAGACTGAGCTTGGGAGGATGGAAGTGATGGACCAATCCAAGCAGAAAAGGTTGTAAACCCTGTCTCCAAGGAAGGGATGCTGAATGCAATGGCACATGCATACATGTGATCCTAGTGACAATGAGAAGCCTATAGTACTAGGGTTGTGGGAAGGAAGAGACAGCTTATCCTAAAAATAACCAATGATGAAAAATAGGGCTGGAGGTGTGGCTCAGTGGTCATCATGCCAGCCCAGCAAATGCGAGGACCTGCATTCAAACATCGACAAATGAACAAATAACAATAAACCTCAGAACTAAGGTTCTAGGGTATGGCAGAGGGCTTGCTTACAAGTGAGGCCCTGGGTTTG